GGGGAAGCAGGCCGAGCAGAGAGGACGCTGCGGAGAGCAAGTTCCATTCCGGCCACGATGGCCGAGGAGGAGTCCTAGGGTCTGAATGAAACCTGTCAGGAGCATTTGCAGCTTGTCTCTGAGCCACCCCTGTCAGAGCTCCCCACTTCTCACGGGGCAGCCAGCTTTCTACCCCCACCCCCCACTTTGGCCCTGGTGCTCTCTTTTTTCAAGATGATTCTCTTTTTCTCTCAAAAACTCCTGATCTGTCTTTTCCTGTCTGGCCGCTCTATGTGCTGCTGGTGTACTCCGAGCGGGCGCTCCACGGACCCTCCGACCGACAGGTCCCAATGAGCGTCATTATAGGTGCATCCCCTGCTCCCCAGCCCACAAACACGCATTTTCCTCTGTTCCTGGCCTTGGCTAGTAGCCCTGTCATCCACCCACTTGCCCAGGCCAGAAGCCTTGAATCCATCCTTGATTCTTGTCTTATCCACCCGCGCAGCCTATTGGTGACTTCGGTTCTACCGTGTAAATGGTTCGTATATCGGCCCCTTCCCTTCCGCCCCAAAGACCCCTGCCCCAGTCAGCTCTGCCCTCCCTGTCTCCAGCTTTCTCTACGCTCCCCATCCTCATTCCCAATCTACTCTTTACTCAACAGATAGAATAACAGTCTGAAATATAAATCTGACTATATTCGTCCCTCGTTTAGGCCTCTTCGATGGCTCCCTATTGGGCTCTGGATAAGGTTCGAGTTCTTTCACGTGACCCCCGAGGTCCTTCATGATCCGGTCGTCGCCCGCTGCTCCAGACTCACTCCTCACACTGTCTGCCACTCTGCTCTTTGGCCGGATGGTGCACAGTTCCTCGAAGCACACGCTTCCGCACCTCCTTGCCCATTTCTGTGTTGTCCCTTCTGCCTGCCATGCTCTCTGCCCCCGTGTCTGCCTCAGCGACAACTCCCTATTCATCCTTCGAGACCTGTTCCAGATGCCGCTTCGTTCTCCAACGTCCTCGTGACAATGCAGGAATTAATCGCTCTCTCTGCTCGGTCCCACAGGGCTTTATCCTTTCCAATAGGACTTCTACATGCGATTGTGATGATTCGTGCACGCGCCCTGCCCCTTCCCAACTTGGCCGTGAATTCCCCAAGGGCTGGGAGTACCTGATGTAGCTGAATCCCTGAGTACCCAGCACAGGGCCCGGCCCTGAGGAGGCTCATAGCGAGTGAATGAATGAATGAGTGAATGAAGGACCCATAAGATGGGCAGACTGTCACCGCCCATAGTGGTCTTCTTCCAGAATGGTGGTCTCTGTAACTGCCAGACTGCTGACTGTTGGGTTCGGAGCCCCCAAGTGAGAAGAATAAGACCGACCACGCAGACTGTTTGTGACAGTCAAACAAGGTCACTTATTTGTAATCTGTAAACTCCTGTGTAAATGTAAAGCCTAATTAGCTCCCGAACTACCTTTAATTCTGTTATACCTTTGACGGCTTGGTGGGGAGGTTGGGAGAAGAGGGAATTTCGTAAGAATAGAACAGGACTGCAGAGTCACAGGCTGTCCCACCAGTCAGTTCGTCACCTAATTTCCCAGAATTGTCACATTTAGGACTACTCCCCTTTTGTCCACTTTGTAGCGTTGCAGGGGAATGTCATAGCCGTCTCTCTCTCGATTGGTCTTTCTCCATTTTCACACCTATGTCATTCCAGAATTTTCCATTTCCCTAACACTAACATCCTTCAGGGGCTCTGTCAATGAAAACTCGGGGTCACGGCTTACCCCTCCCCTCTCCTGCGGCCGGGAGTGGGTTGAAGATTTACCAGGTTGTCTTCTGCTCTGTCGGGTGGCTCTGACCTTTAGCATTTGAGAGTGATCTAGGGCTAAGCCTAATCCCCTAGGATTAGAAATCACTGATGTCTGCACCTGGTGTGGCAATCATTGTTGGGGGATAACAGAGACGACAAATACCATGACAAACTCCTTTCCTGATGACCTTTTGGTTGGTTTAAAGGCTGACTGCATAAAGGCAAGAGGACCTTTCTATCTCTAAGAAGAACCTTTTTTTTCTTTTCTCCTGGGAGGTCCGCCTGCTTCGACTCTAGCTCCGCAATCCATTCCCCACACGAGCGAGCTTTCTAAAATGCAAGTCAGATCTGCTCATTCTCCCGTTCTATGCTCTCCAATGGCTACCTAGTGTCATTTAAATCAAAGCCCAAATCCTCACCCTGGCCTTCAAGCTCTGCATAATTTGGCCCCTGCCTTTCTCTTCGACCTCTGCCTGGAATGTTCTGCACCCAGATCATCACATTCAGGCTTGTCGTTCAGGCCTCTGCTCCAAGTTCACGCTCTACCTCATCCTGTTTTTCAAAGTCTCTGATTTTTTTTTCCCCAAGGAGTTTATTTGGGCAGACCAGGGGACGGGGAGGCCCCGCATCTAAAAGGTGTCAGGCCTCTTGGTGGTGAAGCGTGGCTTGTGCTGGCGACGAAGGACCCGATGGGGCAGCGAGAACTTGATCTTGGAGTCATGGAACTGCTTGACTGCCAGGCGGCGGCACTTGCTGGCTGCAGGCTCCTCCATCTCCATGATCTGGATTAAGTGGGCATGGGCACAGTGCCGGACCCCCATGTGTCATAGCACAGGGTGACAGCGCCTGCAGCGGTCAGGTCATGATATTCCCCGTACGTGTTGTGGGTGTCGCTGCCAAAGTTCTTCACCCGTAGAGGGAGGATTTCTCGAACACAAACCCGCAGTAGATGATTTCCCCTGAACACTTCGTCATCTTCTGCAGCTGAGACGCAGAGTACCAGCGCCCCCCATGCACCCCGTATTCTCGCAGCGTGCCCGAGGCCGTCAGAGCCCCCCAAACTGGGACTGATTGAAACTATGATAGGCTGCTCTGACAATCACAAAGGGTTGAAGGACAGCCAAGAGCTAGGGCAAGGTTGAACGACCAGTTTCATCTCCTACACAAGACCAGGACTGGGGAGGTGGTTGTCACATCTGATGCATAGAAACCATCACAGAGTCAAGCAAAAGGAAGAAACATAGCAATATCTTACATGCGACAGAACAAGTTATAAAAGCTGAGAATGTCTCCAGACACCTTCTGACGCTCCAGCATTGAGCGAATGACGTGGTGCGACACCCTTAATCCTGGATGAGGTGGATGCCCCGCTTTCAGTGTCCCGGGGGGAAATGTGCAGAGGTGGAAATTCAGGCTTCTCATGACGCCTCTGCTTACAGCACGCAGCTGGGAAGGACAGCTCAATACTGCTTCTGACGTGATCCCCAACCGATGCCACGGTGTGTGTGTGTAGCGGGGTGGGGTTCTTACCTCCAGACTGGGGTGAGAGTCTTGCTTCTCCACAGGGCCTTTTATGGTCACCGTGAAGGAAGGAGGAGGACGCCATATTACAGTAGGACAAGGGTAAAAGTCTAGGTTCCCTACTTGGCCTTTGCTGAGAGTAGAGGCCACGATCTTTGACAATAGCAGCAGGTGAATTCTTCTCTGAAAGTTTTCCATCTTGTTGGGCTTTTTCCTTTCCTGGCCCCTTGGCTAGAGAGAGCAAGCTTTCCCTGACACTTTGTGTTTTCAGGTTTCTAGTTGTTCCAGCACATGGTCTGGGATATATTAGACAAAAAGCCCAGGAAATCCATGGCCCAGTTATTCTTCAGGTTCTGAGGTCCTTTTAGAGTCTTATGTTTGTTTTATATGTATGATGTTCATAGATTTCAGTTGTACTTAGTAAAAAAAAAATAGGGAAAAGTGTATCCACTTAATTTTTTCCTGGAAATGGAAGTTCGAATATATTGGTTTATAAAATATATTTCTTGCCTTAGCCAAAACAATAAGCCAAGAAGAGAAATAAAAACTGTGTTGATTGGTGTGGGGGGTGGGGAGAAGAAATAGAACTGCTCCTCTTCATAGACGACACCATCATCTATGTAGAAAACCCAAAGAATCTATAAAACAATGTTTAGAACGAATGAGTTTAGCAAGGTTGTAAGTTATAAGGTCAACACGTGGAAAATGAATCTAATTTCTATGTTCTAGCTATGTAAGCCTAGAATATAAAAATCATTTTAAAGAAAATACCATAAAATACCATAAAACACAATAATCTTAGAAAATTGAGATAGTTAGAAATATTACAAAGCATGTATAGAATCTATATGTTGAAAACTAAAAAAAAGGTAATGAAAGAAAGATCTAAATAAGTGGAAAAGAGGTTTCTCCTTTTGCTTCTTAGTGATGTCTGAAATTTTCTTATTTTTTTTGTTTGTCTACCTGTTTATTATTTGTCCCTGCTCCATGAAGACAGGGCCCTTACCTGTCTAAATCATCGCTATATCCTTAACATCTAGCATAGTACTTTGAAGGCCATCGGTGCTCTAGACATATTTGTTGGATAAATAAATTTATAATGTGCTTTATCATTTAACAAAGTGCTTTCAGGTACATTAATTTCTCACAAAGCCCATGAGGTCGGGATTATTACTATCCTATAGGGGCTTATGGATGCAGAAACCGAGGCTCAAGAGGTTATGTCCAATGTCACATAATCACTAAGAAGAGGAAGGCGACCCTGAACTTGAGTTCTCCAATTCTAAATACTGCTCTTTCTAGCAACACACCTTGCTTCTAACCGGGTCGATGCTATGCCAGATGCGATATGTGCCAAGCCAACCCGTCTGATTCCCTGAGCATCGTTATCGGCAGGCCTGGGAACAGCACTGCGAGCTGTGCAGACTGTGTCCAGTCCCCTGACTTGTGGGTGCTCCCTACTCGCTGAGAGTGAGGGGAACCAGCGGAGTCAGCCAGTCGAGTGGGACAAAGTATTATGAGCCAGATAGTCGGGACTCTGGGCTTCCAGGCTCTACTCGCTCCCTACTTGTACCTCCTTTCCCTTTTTTCCGCAGGCCTCAGCGCGTCTTTCTGTAAAATGGGTCAATCGAACGTGCTGACTTCAAAGATCCCTCCCGGTTCTGACTGCCCGTGTCTCTGTTTCCTTTGCAGTGCTTCCCGTCGCTGCGGGGGAGGAAGAATGCGGGTAAGTGTGTGAGGCGGGACTCACCGGTGACAGGCCGCGGGCCCGGGACGGAGCTTCTCAGTGCTCTGATTGGGCTGGCCGATCAGGTTCCTGGCAGTGGAGCTAACGGCCTAGACGCAAAATGTGGAGACGCCCTCTCTGTCTCCCTCCAGTGGGCATTGGACTCCTCGACTCCTCTGGCCTTGCCTTTGGGAAGCAAGCGAGCGCGCAGAGCTTCTTCGACTACTCTGATGGAGCGTTTTCTCTGCACGGGGGCTAAGGGAGGATCTCCTGGAAGAGCTGTCAGCAGGTGGCAGCCGCCCTTGTTTTCTGAGGCCTTTTTCCCACCGGGAAGTATATTAAGGGTGGGAGGGGTGCTGGGAAAGGGAACAGGTAAGTGGGGGGTGAAGGAAAGAGCCTTGACCTTTGAGAGTCAGTGTCTGCGGTATTCCCACCATTTGCTTTATCTGGAAGGTTTCCAAGAGGCTTAGGACCGGCGGGGTGCGTTTATATAGCCTCGAGGGAAAAAACAATTCCATCTTCTCTCTAACAAGTTTCTTTGAGCCTGACTCCCTGTCTCCCTTCTGCCTCTGGTGTCCTACTTGGGTGTGGACAGGTGGGTGGCATTCTGGGGGCATCTCCCTTCTTTTGAGGAGGACACAGTCGTCTACACTGCAGGGGTCCCCAACCCCCGGGCTGTGCGTCAGTATCGGTCCGCGGCCTGTGAGGAATCGGGTCGCACAGTAGAAGGTGGGCCATAGGCCAGCGAGCGAAGCCTCATCTGTATTTGCAGCCGCTCCCCGGCGCCAGCATCACCGCCTCAGCTCCGCCTCAGATGACCAGGCATTAGATTCTCATAGGAGCACCGGTCCCTGGTGCCAAAAAGGTCAGGGACCTCTGCTCTAGAGGAAGGGGACAGCTCTGGGGAGGAAAAGAAAAAAGATATTGGCCAGGGACAAATGTACCACCAGAGCCTAAACGCCATTGGCTGGGCTTTGCTGAAGTTAGCTAGGCCACCTGGGCCCCAGCCCGCCCTTGGCCACTCCCATCGGCTTCACTTTTTCATCAGGAAGAGCTCATAATTTGAATGAGCATGGCTCTTAGGTGGCAGGTAGGGTTGGAAACAGAGAGGCACCAATCGACAAGTGGCATGCTAAGGACCTGTGCGAGATCCCGAGGACCTCTCCAAGAGGTTGGAGCTGGTTTGGGCACAGTCTTGCCAGGAGACAGAGAAGAAGGGATCTGGTGACTTTGCAAGGACTTTTCCACCCCAGGACCCTGAGTTCTTGGGTGGTAGCTGCTAAAAAAGAAGAAGCGCCAGCAGGGCGAGGTGTTTATTTGCATTGCCATGACAGCAGATGAGAGGGGACCTATTTTGATGCAGGAACACTGCTTTGATCAGCACACAGCAGACATCTGCTTCCCCGCCCCCCGCCTCCTCCGCCCATCACCATTCCAGGGCTTCTTGCTGAGCACAGTTCCTGCTCTGCAGCAGAGACTTCTGGGGGCACAAGATCTGTGGGCTGCCCATACTGGGGGCAGGATACACTTCTCCATTTCAGAGACACCAGCTGCAAAAGCTAAAAAGAAAGCCCTCAGGCCCTGAAATAGTGACCCCCCCCTCCAGACGAATGCACTTGCAGCTGCCAAGTTGCCTCATTAGAATGTCTGTGCCAGGCTGAGTCGCCAGTGCTGAATCCTGGGAGGGTGGGCACCGGGTGGCCGAGTGGTCCGTGGCTTCCAGCAGACAGAGGAGTGACTTTTGGGGGGCGGGGCCAGGCACGACACATTGCCACCTACAGAGCCGAGCTGGGACTGCTTTTCGTGCTAATTCTTTACGTTAAAGTTTGAAAAAGTCTATTTAAGGGCAAACATGAACTCATTGTTCTAGGCTGATCCAAGGACAATCCAACACGAATTACGACTTTTGCGGATGTCGCAAATGAAGCAGCAGGGCACTGGGAATCAGGAGGCCTGGATTTTAGCCCAAATTTTATTCATGGTGCACTGTGTGAGCCAAGGCAAAGAACGTCCTCTCTCTGGCTCAGTGTGCATATCTATAAAATGGAGCAATTTATTGCATGGCGCTCTAATACGGATCATAAGAGGCAGTACATTACAAACTTCAAAGAGCCCAGCAAATGGGATGAGGTCCGAGACAGTGGAGAAAGAACTATGGGGCAGGAAACGTGAGACGGTGGTGGGATAAATGTTAGTTTGGGATTCAAGAGGCCCGGGATCCAGTTTTGACCGTGCCGCTCAAGGTTGGATGATCTTAAGAACCTTCCCCTCTCTGACCCACCATATTCCAGCTGCCCCTTGAGCCCGTCCAGCATAGTAGAACAGGGGCGCTGGACGAGAGGACCGACCAGAGAGTCTTCAGAGAAGAAAAAGCTGAGACAGTGGCTCAGAGCTGACAGTTGCATGCGATTTGCATGTGTAATCTTCTTCCTGTTAAGATCAGTCCATCCAAGTTTTCTCTGAAACACTACTGCTTTTGTCTTAAGTTGTCTCGTTGACAGAGCAAACCTTTGGCATCGTCTTCATAGGAGAGCATTAGAAATGTCCAACCAGCTTCCACATATATAGGCCTGCCCAGGCCCAGGGGGATGGCCCGAATGACCTTTGACGGTGCTGCTCTCATGATCCCAGAATCCACCTGTACAGTTTTCCGATTTTACTTATTCGATAAGTGACTTCACAATCTTTGTCATCATTTCATCGTGTGCCATTATATGCTTATTATTTTTCTTTAACTCAACCAATTTTAAATCATAACCTCACTCTACGCTGTAATATCTAGGAAGTTAAGGTTTGAGGTACTCATTACATCTTTCCTAATATCGATTGAATTCGATATGTATCTATCACAATTCAAGACATCGGCACATCGCTCTGAATCAGCCGCTGTATATAACAATATCGAGCAAAGGAAAACACAGAGCGAGCCATGGCGATGCAAACCAGCAGGTCAGGAGGAGGTTCAGACATTTGAGGCTCACTCCAAGGGGCTCGCTGCTTGCTCTCGGGCTCCCTGCATCATTTCATAGTTTTTCCAAGTCCTCCCTCCATGTTGCTTAAGCATGAATTGCTCCCGAGATGGAAATAAGTTCTGGAGCCTAAAAGGAACCTTCTCCCTCCAAACAAAATCCTCAGTTCTGAACTGCCTCACAGGTACTGAAGCGAGAACACTTGATCGGGGAACCGGAAACTGTAGCTTTCGGTTTTGGCTCCGCCCTTTGCCAGCTGTATGACCTTGGGCTCATCCCTTCCCCTCTCTGGCCTTAGTGTCCCCGACTCTAAGATGGATGGTTTGGTCTAAATGACTTCTGAGGCATCTTGCTGCTCTGAAATCCAGTGACTCCGTCACTTCCACACCTCACCCTTCTGCTTAGCCCATCAGCTCCCCTTCCCAGGGGACCACAGAGGCGAGGCGAGGAGGCTGCCGACCTGCCCTTTCACCTCCCTTGCACCAAATCCTCCCCAGGCCCCTTGCTCCCAGTACACAAAGCTCCTTTGTTGCCCGAGGCCATTCAGGGCTTCTCTCCAGGCTCCTGCCGAAATGGCTGAGGCAACCTGGGGGGTATTAGTTGGCCTGTAACAAGAGCCCCAGTCTCCAACCCAACTGGCTCCAGCCTGGCTGCAGGTCTGGCCTCAGCACCAGACCCCTCCCTCCAGCTCTGAGGGGACGGGGAGACCACTCTAAAAGGAAGAAAGTAGAAACAATACATTATTTTCTATTGGGCATCAGTTCCAAGGCTCAGGAGGGCAGTAGACTGAAATACCGAGCCTACGAAAATCATCGGAATAATAATTCAGTTGACTTCCTCGCTTTTGAAAATGATGAAATAATTCTCGTGACTGATTATTGACAGATCTTGTCATTTTGCCTTTGCTGTTGTATGAAGACCGTTTGCAGGGCATAGCTTATTTACCATTTGACGGATATTTTACAGGGCAATGTGCCATAATGGAAAGGTCTACTTACTTAGGGAGTATCTGGAATTGATTATCATTTAAGACAGGAAATCTTTCAACCATGATCTATAGTGAATTCCGCCAAGGCAAAAACACACTGGACTGTGCGTTGAGAATTCTAAGATCTAATTCCTGGTCTGACATTAATTCCTTCTGTGACCTTGAGTTACTTGTCTTCCCTTCCTGGGCCTCAGTTTCCTTGTCTGAAAAATGAGAAAGTTGAACTAGAAGGTCCCAAGGTCCTCTGTACTCTGACTCCATCTCCCGCCCCCCGTGCCAGAGTCAGACCGAAAGGAGGGAGAGGCAGGGATGGGGTCAGTGCAAAGGGCAATTTCAAGATGTTCTTTGGGATGGGGTAAGATTTCCAGACCTGCGGAGGAGTGGAACAGTTTCCTTGGGGGCCTAAAGAGGTTGGGAAGCCCAGGTTCCAGAGGCAGGAGTGTGAAACAGAAAGTCAGGCCCAGGCTTACAGATGCAGATGAGCCGATTGTTTTGAGGCCCAGCCTGGTTGGCCATTTTCACAGTATGGGCTAATCTAGATGGGAACAAGGGCTGGTTCATATAGGATGGCTACTACGCAGGGGCTGTTGAAGGAACGGGACTTGCAAATGGAGTGACAGGTCTGGAAAAGACCTGTAAAGTGCTATTAGACACTTCCAGCGGAAGGTCTCATGAATTCTTCAGATTCAACACTGCAGATCATAATTATTTATCATTCTCTTGGGAATCTTCTCCTTCTCCAGGACTCTATTTCTATTTCTCGGTTAATGCGCCATCATCTACCCAGTCACTGGAGAAGGAATCATGGAAATCACCTAGACTCCTCCATTTCTCTCATTTGCTGCCATCCAGTCGCCAGATTATACCCATAAAACTTCTCTGTAATATTTCCTGAATCTTTCCCTCCATCTTGGCCCTGAGCAACTCTGGCATGGATGTTTGCTACAGCTGCAAAACTGGTCTCCCTGCCACCGTGGTTTCCCTTCCAGTCCACTTGCCACACTGCTGCCAGAGTTCTCTCTTTAAAACAAAAAGTTCACCGT